CACCTTGTAACTCCTAGTTAGGTATTCAAAATTGCAACATGACTACAAGTTAAATATAATTTGTGAAATATATGCCATATTTGATAAAAAATGCATGTAGTCAGAATCATATGATGATTTAATTTGCATAGATGTAAAACCGGAATTTATTATACACAACCTATATTCATAAAAGTAGACAGTCACCTGGTTTCTCTTCACTGGTTTAATCTGGCAGTCTCTCAATAGAGGCAACAGAATTTTTAAAAGCAGCCAAGACAAACCAGACACCAAGTGGAAGGAGAAAAGAACAGACAATGTGCAGGATAAGTGGTTACACACATGTTAATATTATCTCCTTCAATCCTTTAAAAAATGGTACTTTTAGACTGGTGGAAGAGGGAGACGGCAGCCAGGCAAAACAGAAGTGAGTCTGACATCACTGATGCACCTGCAAAAAGTTGATCTTCTTTTCCAAAAAGCAAAGTTTTACAAGGAAATATACAGGATGCACTTTACTTTTTCAGGCAATCCAAAGATCTCCTGTAACAGAGATGTGGAGGAAAAAGCAGTTGGAGCAGTACCATGTTGGAGAGAGGCCGAATGGACTGAGGTACAGTGTAGCATACGGGCCTGGAAACATGGGCCTTCACTGTATGATTGGAGAGAACTTAAGCCAGTCTGGAGATAGACTGATGAATATGCTATTATTGACATGATGCCCACTTCAGTAAAGAAATTTTCAGAACAAACACTCAAGTAGCAAGGTGATATAGGCCTGAGCTCAAGAGATTGGTGTCTAACCAACACAGAGTAGAATAACCAACAGACTGCAGAAATGCACTAAAGACATATTCAGAAAAAGACATCTGACTATCTTCCACTGAGCCACTTGCAAGATGAAACATGAGAAAAGGTTGTGGTACAGCTGGTAATGGCCACTTGCATTTAAGATATGCACAGAAGGCTACTTCAGCATGGTTCTATCTGTTGATTACCATTTTCATCTACAACAGATAACATTTATAACTGGTTGGAACACAGTTCAAACCAAGTCTTAACATTTCATCAAGCTGCTGAGACATCCATGTATACTCCATGCCAATATGCAGGTTTCTTTGCAAGGTTTCACAAAAAATAGCATATAAATAGTTTTCAAAACGTAGGCTGGAGTTTTTGTATGTTAAGAAGGAAAAAATACCCAAATGTTATTTTCAGTTTCTGATGTGCTCAGCTTAAGCAAACCATGATGAAAGCAAGCAATTATAAAGAATGATAGGTGGCATGTGGTGGTTTTCACTGATATAGCATTATCCACACACTCCATGCTGGAAATAAACCACACTCGATAATGTACATACAACTTGGGAACGACACAAGTATCTGAGCACTACTGAGAGTTCTGTTGCTCATCTGCAATTTCAGGCAGAAGATGGCCTTCTCTGTTAACCATGGGTCAACATAACTCTCAAGTAGGCACATGTTCCTTAAGCATTTCTTCTTGATAATGAACATTTTCATTTCAAGCCCCAGGTAATATCAGATACAGAAAAAAGTCCACATATGTATGTATTTGGTTCCTGGATCCATGTGGATGCTTTTAACCCCACTCTACTCCTCGCTGAACTTCACTTTCCACCCCTCTGTACTCATGTCTAAACATAAAGGTATTTACATGTCTGAAAGGAACTGGAAAGCAACTGTGATATTTCCCAGTGGATTCTAAAGCTCTTCTCACAGAAAAGCAACACATCATTATGTCACAGTAGCACTTCAATAAGGGGCAGCTCAGGAAAGGCCTTTGACATGGTTATGATTAGCAGATTCATCACTTTCACTACCTCACTTGTAAAAGAAAGACTGGAACAGAAATATTTTTGGTTATTATTATCTTTCCCTGGAATCAGTTATGTCTGTAGGCCTTATAGAATGTGCCATCAATAAGATGGTCTTTGGATAAATGTCCTTTTATGCACTGCTGGAAGTACTGAAAACTGATGGGTCTTTGAAATCGTGTGTGTATCTGTTGTTCCTTGGCAGGTTCTAAATCCACAAATTCATGAGTGGCTTATTGTGATTCATATGCCACTTTCATTTTTGGCAGGTAATGCTAATGGTATTGGAGAATGACTATTTGAATGAGATCTGCACCCACTTCCCTCAAATCAGGACTCTAAAAAAGCTCAGAAAGGAGCTGTCAGCATAAATAAAAAAAATAATTAAAAAAGAATGTGAACGCTTATTCTGTATAGGGTTTCAACTCCACAATTCCAGGCATCGGGGATGAGCAGGATGAACAGGACTTTCTATAGTTCCTGTAGAAGGCTGGGCAAGCAAACATCTGGGGGGGGAAATTGAGGAAGAGGAAATATCTACGTGTCAGTAATAGGAAAGTTACATTGTATACCTGGTTTTTAGGCATGCCATCTGTGCTCAGTCATACCAAATAGCTTTGATGACATGCCACAGCTAAAGGACAGGCAATATATGTCCTGCTCCAGTGACATGAATGACACAACTTGGTAAAACTCACTGCTTAATGATATAAATCATAACTCTCAAACACAGTATATGGTTGTCCCATACGTTTTTCAGTGATTAGACTCATACTAGGTATTTGGATACTGAAAGCACTGAAGGAGCATTATGGTGAAAACCAGTGCACACTCGGTAAGCAAGAGAGCCTTATCTATACTAACCCTGGACTTCCCATCATAGTTTGTTGGTTTGCAACAATACCATAACATTCAGCTAATATTGTTTACAGTAGCCTAACAACAAGCAATTCTATTCCCATTACTGCTCACACTCTGGTACTAAATATTTGTTTCCAAAGTAAACTGCCTGATATAGTTGAAAAGTATTACCACAGTTTGTTTTTTTATAACCTGAATAAACCTTATCTTTTAAAAACAAAATGTGACCTTAAAAAAGGGTGTATATTTTGACTAATATACAAAGTTGATGGAAAATAAGGTTTATGTTACATTTCAATTTTAAGGAAGGATTTTCCATAGTACATTTGAGGATCTTTAAGAGGGAGCTTGATTTAAACTCAGTTCCAGTTCTGGATCTGATCTCAAATCCATGTGTAGCCTCAGGCAAATGTGTTAATTTTCCTGTTTCAGTTTCCCTGCCTTTAAAGTGGGGATAACGTGACTAACCCAAATAGCTTAGCTGCAATTTGTAGCAATGAGTAACTTGATTATTAGATTTCTGAGACATGAAACATGATTATTATTAGGGCTTACTGACCAGCCAGTCAGAAATGTGATACAAATAAAGGAGATGGGTCTTTGACAATAGAAGGATGTAGGTTAGTCAGTCAGTCAGTCAGTCAGAGTAGCTCTGCAAGGAGGCAACTCTAGGGAGTGGAGAGTTGGACCTATAAAAGAGAGAATGTTCCCTTTGTACTAATCTCCTATTTATTACCCCATGGTATCAAAAGACCATAAAAAGCTAAGTCCTCTCTGAGAAATGAATAGGTCCAAAGCACTACAACAAATCAGCTGCAGGCAAATAAATTTTTATCTGTGTAAGTGAGCTCAATGTTATTTTCTAGTGGAAATGTCAGAATTGATTAAAGACCTAGCATTTCTATTTAAAATGAGAGAGTAGGGGATGATACGTTGTAAACTGAGAAAAAGTCAGAGGACTGATAACATGGAGATAAAGGAGTGAATTAATTTCTGGTGTTGTTGAAGTAATTTGGTATTCAACATATTGAGTCCAAATTTGCACCACTGTACCTAGTATAAATAGTAGTGCCTTTTAATAACTGTGACAAAAATACTCTCCCCACTGGCAAGGTCAATATTATTAATTGCTATTCCTATTATTAACCTTTGGGCTTGTGTATCCTCCATGGATTAATGATTATTCAATAACTGAGCTACAAGGTTAACTTACTAATAGCAATTAATAGAAGGACATACTGCTGGCTAACTAGGAAAAGCAATGGCAAATCAACTTCTTGGCCTTGGTCTTGTTTCATGCAAAGGTGCCTACGGGAATTGTACCTGTCAGCTCCCAAAGCTGAAAGAGAAAATCTGCCTCAAAGTCGAGACAAATAAAAAACGGAGATCGGGCTGACATCCGGGGTCCCCTCTTTCGTCAGTTTCCTAGGGAATAAGAAGCAACCTCAGCTTTCAGGGAAACCTGCGTTCATTGCCAGGGTCATTCTCCAGGAACTCCACTTCCAAATCCTGCATCAGCGAAGAGTGGAAAGAAGGTCTTAAAAACAGAAAAAAGAGAGAAAAGTACTTCCCCTAGGAGAAGTTTCATGAATAAAGGCAATTCTCAAACAGCGTTACGGAGGAGCACGTGGTGCCAGGTGAAACACCGGGCAGGAGGACCACAGCGATCCGGGCCCGACGGGGCAGCGGAGCTGCCGGCAGCCAGAGGCCTCGGGGGGATGCTGTCCGCGCCCGGGCATGCCTAGCCCGTGGAGACCCAGCGCGGTAGCGGAGCTGCTCTCCCTCGGCCACCCCCAATCGCGGGTGGCCGCGGAGCGCTGCCTGCCCGAAAGGGGCTGCCGCCGGCGCTCCGGGAGCAGCGGCGCGGGGCGGCCAGAGGGCGCGGGGACAGCTGTGGAAATAAAGGAGCGGGGGAAGGATGGAGAGAAGGGGGAAGAGGGGGGCGGGGGCGCGGTGCCGGGGAAGGCAATGCGGGGACGGTGGAGGGTTTCGACCCGAGTTCTGGGGGGAAGGGTGGCACGGCAGGCATGGACACACGCACACCACCAGTGCCCCGGCACTTCCACCAAGTCAGCCCCACCGCCCCGCGGGGCCGGGAGCCGCCGGAGGGAAGGAGCCGCCGCGCACATACACACACAGACACACAGACACACGCCACCGCTGCGCTCCAGCCGCCGCTCGCTTCTCCCCCCCTCCCACCGCCGCCGCGCAGGCAGGAGGCAGCGGGCGCGGAGCGGAGCGGGCGGCGCAGGGCTCGGAGACCCCGGCCCCGGTCGGACCGGCCTCAGCAGCCGCGCTGCCCCGACGGCACCGCCGCCCCCTCCCCGGGGGCAGCGCGCACCTCCCCGCCTGGAGGGGCCGTGCGAGGAGGCAGCGGGCGGGGGAGCGCGGGCACACACACACACACACTCACACACACACACACACACAAATACACACACACACGCAGGCACACCCGCACAGACACACGCAGGCAGAGGCAGGGCTGCCCCGCGCCGGTACCTTGCTGCCCTGGTGTTTTCCGTCCGGGCTCCTCCTTGCTGAGGCAGCTCGGGAGCGGAGCCGAGCGGGCGGGTGCGTGTGCGTGTGTGTGTGTGCGTGCGTGCATGCGTGTGCCTCTGTGTGTGTCTGTGTCTGTGTGTGTGTGTGTGTGTGTGTGTGCGAGAGCGAGCGAGAGAGAGAGACTCTCCCCCCTCCCCCTCCTCCTCCTCGCTCTCCTTCCTTTAAACGCCCACTCCTGATGGGTGAAAAGACAACTTGAACTTCAGTGCAATTAACTTCGCCGGCGCCTCGGAAGCCGGAGGTGTCGCCGGCCTCGCCCGCCGCGCTCCCATGAGTGAGTCGGTCCCGCTCCTTCGGCGTCTCTCCTCGGGGACGTGGGGGACGGGGGGGGACAGAGCCGTGCCGGGGGCACCCGCCGCGGCGATTTACCCGGCCGTTCCGGCCCGGGAGGGCGGGCGGGAGGGAGGCGCGGGGCGGGTGGCTGCGCTCGGCGCTGCCGCTGCCGGAGCCTCCCGGCCGGCACGGGCTCACACCTGCCGCCGCGCCGCTGCCGGTCGCCGGCCCCGCTCCGCTCCGCTCCGCTCCCTCGCCCGCCGCCGCCTCGCCCGCCGCCGGCACGGGGGGAGCGGGGAGAGGTGGGGGTGGGGGCAGAGGGAAAAAACCCCAAAGTTTGGCAAAGTTCTTACCCAGCCCCGCGCGCCTCCCGGCAGCGGCGGGCGCGGGGCGGCGGCGCCCCCGACGGCGCGGGGCGAAGCGGCGGGGCCGGGGGTCGCGGGCAGGGGGATGGGGGGCGCGGGGCTTGCGCGGGCGGCCGAGCGGCGGCGGCTGCCCCAGCCGGGGGCGCGCCCGTGGCGCTGGGTGGCGCGGCCCCCCCGCCCGCCCGCGGCGCGACCCGGCGCTGCCGCTGTCACGGGGAGCAGTGCCAGGGGCTCGTCTCTGTGCTCCAGGATTTACTTTTGCTTTTTCCGCTCCGTCTCCGAACCCGCCACCCGAGGTTTTGCTAAACCCTCGCCCCTTTGTCGCCGTGTCCGCCGGCTGCCGGGGGGAGCGCTCCTGACAGGCACCTGCCCGACCCGGAGTTTCCCTCTGCCAGTCTCCAGCTTTTTCTGACTGCGGGAAAAACTTCGCTACACTCTAAGTTTTCTGAAACACTTTGCACCAGCTCCTAAGCTGAAATAAGTTTAAACTGAGGAAAGCTCTTCGCTGGTTTTAGTCCGTGCAAATGAGCGCAGCGCTTCTGCGAAAATAATTCACAAATTCAGATGCAGAGACTCCAGGGCGTGTGATCTGGAGGTGCCCTTTTATTCTGGTCCGTGCTACTTGGGTGGGAGTTAGCAGCGGCCCCTTATTTCTACTTTATATTATTTTGGTACAGTGCATTCATATATTTGTCTGCTGTAGTCTGCTGGCAAACATTAGCATTCAAGCTTACATTTTTGACAAATGTGCAGACAGGAATAGCATGAATAGGCATCTTAAATATTAACAACCTAAGCATCTGTTGTGAAACAAATTTAATATATTTACTCTGTTTTTCTCACATTGTTAGGAAAGGTTACAATAAGTGTAAAATTTCAGCTGTAGTTAGCACAAGGAATGCTTGGATATTTCACTATCTGTTCAAGCATTTAACACAATCACCAGATAGAAATGTGTCAAATCAGGCGCACTATTCAAAAGCAACTTGAAACTGTAAGCGTAGAGTGTATAGACATGAATATAGCATGTTCTCTGCAATTTCTATCTTCTAATTACTCTTCAGCACGATTTGTAGAATTTGAGAATGCTCTTTCCAGTCCTGTACTCCTATAAGCTCTTAAATATGTTTATACCTACACGCACTCATTTTCTAATTCACTTTCTATTTGAGATTGTTATTGGTATTACCTTGCTTTTCGAGTTGAAGCAATAGTTTTGTGAGGAAATGTGAAATAACATAGAGTAGGTAAAAAAATGAGCAGGCAGAAAATACAATGTGTTCACATATAAGCATGCGTCGGAACAGATAGTGCACAAACAAGGCAATAGAAGAGAAATTAAAATCCTTGGCTAGTATGCTATGTATGCCCACTCTTCAGAACAGCTAGTGGAAAAGAAACAACTGACTCCAAGGAATTCCTCTGTCCCTGTAATAAAACTGTTCAGAGTAGAAAAGAGCACAGAAGAGCAAAGCCTCCAAAAAGGCTGTAGAGTTATTTCAGGAATCAGTGCATTCCTTCCCTTTTTCCCACAAGTTCAAATATGTAATAAATAAGTCCTTTGTATGCAAAATAGTTTACTGGAACAAAAAATATTTAAATGAAATGCTTTTTTGTGCATGAATTTTGAAAAACTGGCCATTTCCTTTTTATATTCTTTGTTCTTGATACTTTAAATAGCAAAGTAACTCTCGCAGTTTCCCCTCTCATGCTATTTTAGCGACTCGTGTGAATCCTAACCTGCTGCTGAGCTCCCGAGAAAGCAGTGTGAAGCAGAGTCGATCTGTAAGTCACTGATGGGACACGGTGCTTTGGCAGTGTCAGAGCAGAGAGAGGCTGCCACGCCAGCCCCAGCTCGCACAGGAGCAGGGCACCCCTTTGGTTTGCAGCGCAGGCCCAGCGGGTCAGCGCACCTGCCCTCTGTGGCCGTGCTTCCCAAGGCAGCGCCAGCCCTGCTGCAGCCCTGCCAGCATCCCACAGGCACCAACCACCACGCTCAGCCCGGCTGGGGACGTGGGCACATCCACCCCAGCAGCACTAAAACCTCTTCAGAGAGGTTTCTCTACAGAAAATGCTTCTCCCACGTTACAGGTTTGGGATAGAGAGGGCTTTACATGTGTGCAACTGCCATTTAGATGGTAATCAGTTGAAGTCTGGTGTTCTTCTTAAAAGAAAAGACCAACAAAAAACCCCACCAAACCTTTTAAATGTATCAACTACTTGATTTTTCAAAGTACTGGTACCTTTTTAATGTCACCTATTTTTTTTTAGTCTAAGTATTGTCAGAGGAATTTGAAGTAATTCCTTAGGTTTCCAGCTGTATTTGAAAAAAAATTAAGAAGATTACTTTATTAATAAAATAGCTCATAATATATAGAAAAATACATTAAAGTAGATTTCTGAATTAAAACTGGAGGAAATATGACTTCTGAAATGTTTTAGTCATATTTCTAGGAACTATGGTATTTTAACATAGGCTCTAGTGAAACATTTTATTGCCTTCTTGTATATAACTGCCATTGCTCTCTCTAGATATATTTAATATATATCCAGTGAAGCCACAAACTTTCCTTCTACAACAGTTTAAACACATCTGGAACATTTTACTTTCTTATAATTTATGTTAATAGATGTAGAGTGTATATACAATCTTCTCAGACATCATTGCTTTTTCCAAAGGGGAATTTTTTTACTTTCAGTCAGGGAATATATTTATAAGAACAAAATAACTCAAAGTATAGGCAATTCTATATATCATTTTATTTTCTGTTATATTAGGTTGATTATGTAAAGCTTTCATTTAGAGCGATGGGATGATGAAATTACAGAGGAGTGATTGGCTTTTGTTTTTTTAAATGGTTCAACTTGAGGGCTGCAAAAATGAATGTTTTTTGTAAAGTTCTTTGAGTGCATAATATTTTTCGTAGAATTCTGACAAATTAATTTAATAGAAAAGCCACAAGTCTCTTAGCCAGGTAAAATGGAAGTTCTGTTTTTGCCGTTATAGGCATCAGGCTTCAGTAACCTGCTGCTCTTGTGGAATGAACACTTTCTACTTAAAGCTATCATGCACCTACTGTTTATTTACGCTGCATTAAACTGACAGCACGGCAATCAGAGGAAAAAATATGACTTACTTTCCTGAAGTAAACACCAGTTTATAGGTTAGTGCCTGTATTTATATTCCTGTCACCACTAAATAATGGCTGTCTCCATTTTAATATCTACCTGTGGTGTTACCCAGGGCAGCTGGCTCTTCCTTGTTTAAAACAAGCAAAAAATGGAAGGTGGGGGTGAGGAAGAGAAGAAAGTTTAGTTATCATTCCACTCTAAGAGGAACTTAATAGAAAAGTGATTCAGTATTCCTTTCTGTGGCAAGGCGAAACCAGTTTTAAAGACATAGTATTCAGTTTTACTTGGTGTAATTGAATTGCATCTCAAACAGGGAAAACAGAATTCCTTAACAGTATTTGTCTATCCAAGACACTGTAATTGTATATTCAGGCAATGGCAGATTAAGGGCAGAAGCATTTTATTAATAACTGAAAGCACATATGTGTGTGTGATGAAAAATGTTCTGCAAATCTGTCACTATGCAATCAAGTGCATTTTTTAAACTTTAGTTGTCACAAAGTTGCTACTGATTCTAAAAAAAAAAAAAAAAGAAAAAAAAAGGAAAAAAAGAAAGAAGTAAAACAGTTTGACGGTTAAAGAGTAACTTACAGTTCTTACTGCCTGCTATACGGAGATTTGTAACTTTGTAAAGTCAGTCTCAGAAAGCCCTGTTGATGTTACTTTTCATCTTGGAGTGATGAGTCCAAGTAGCTGGCATTTGAACTGAAGATAACTGCAGTCAGAATAACTCACAGTTTGTAAAAAGCTTCTCTAAATTCTCTGTTGAAGGACTCCATTAATAACTTTTACCTGAGAGGTTAATTCCTCCCTCAGATTCTCAAAGTATTATGCTTAACACTAAGTTGGCTTGTTGGTCAGTTCCCTTGGCTGTGGTATCATGAACTCTCAACAGCCCTGACCACAACTTGTAACTGTTACTTCCAAGAGGATATACTATGATGTTCCCTTCAAAAATGCTAGTGGTTTTGAATATTTGCCATCCTGTGGCATCTAAGTTTACCACAGTTATCACCAACACTTCATTACATAATGGGTATCCATTCTATTGCTTTGCAAATGTCAGCTTTCTCATGGTTTCTGCACAGCATTGCTCTCAGTACCTTTGTCTTAGTAGAGATTAATTTTAAGGAGACTTGCCAGCACTGATCTTGTACATATGTTCTGATCTGGTTCTTGTGCCCCGTACTGGTTGTAACCTACTCCTAATCTGTTTTATCTGGTGCTGTGTACTAGGAATGGCATAGTAATAGTAGACTACAGTAGTAGAGTGTAGTAACATACCTCAGGCACTGTCTGAATTCTAAATATTTCCTTTTAAACTTGCTGAGCCTGACTTTGCTCCCATGCACACTGGTGTGTCACTGCAGAGCTTGGTTTTCATCGTTCCTGTAGAGGATCAGTGTTAGGTGTTCAGATGGGCTGAGGGACACACTAACACTCGGTATTTGTGGCAAGGTCCACCTTTCAGCTATTTATTTAGAACACCAACGCACAGCAATCT